CAAGGCCCTTGGAATCAATATGGCATGTTTCTAGTCAATAGGCCTTACCTTGTAGAAGCGGAAACAGACACCTTCCTTCCTGGTCCTTCAAAATTAAAGAGGCACTTTTAAAAGGAATGTAACATGTAGTTGGGCTCTTGGGACTCAGCTACAATTCTAACGTTATGAGAGTGTTATAAAGATGTGACACTAGATGGTGCTATAGAGCTGCAAGTCAACGTTAAATTGCATTGGGAGTCATTTTCTTTTTTTTAATAGCAGTTTTTCTTCATGGTGCTTTTCATATCTGTGTAGATCTAGCCTTAATATGACCTAACAGTGAGGAAGATGGATAAATGTCTATTATTTGATGGTTGTGCTCCAAACATGGTGAAGATGTGAATATTGAACATGTGAGAAGTGTGATTTCTGCTGCCCTTCATATGTGTTCATGTCTAGACACTAGCACTGTTTTCATTCTCTCAGATTCCACTTACTTGTTGCCTGTATTCTTCCTGAAAGTTTTGCTTCGGGGAAATTATGGCCTTGGCAAAATGGAGATCCCAAGAGCCCATAATGTTATTCTTCAGAGAACGTTACCTTGGATTTAGAACAGGGATATAAAGCAATTCTCCCGAGACGAGCAAAGTCACAGGCATAAAACACTTGCCTTAGTTGACTCATCCATTAGAAGAAGTTCCCCCTTCCACCTTTTTTAAGATAATGAAACACTACTGCTGCGGAGATTAGCACCTAGAGTAATACTAAATCTGCCAAGGGGCAGTACCTTGGTTAGAAACAACCAAAATGTCATGAAACAGTGATCAAGCTCCTGAGTTCTTCGGAGCTCTTCTTCAGGCAGGCTGTGAAACAAAATGGGGGGGTGGGAGGGAAGAAGGGGAGGAAGTGCTGGCATGGGATGAAAGCCACAAAGTCTGAAGTTGTTATACTCTTAAGATGGAATGCTGAAGGAGGTGCTCAGATTTCAGGTTGCACCAAGGGCTGCTGGTGCAAAGAGTCATTGCGGCTGATCCCCCCACTGCTGAACTGGCTGTGGTCTAGAGATTCTTCGCCAGGCAGGTGATTACAATGGGAAAAGGGGGAGATTAGTATGGGAGAGATAACTTAGAGCAGAGGAAGTGACTCCCTTGGCATTCCTTCTGCGGCTCCCCTGTGGGAAAAAGCACTACGAGCCTCAGACGCTCAGTTATGTCACCCCTTGCCTGCAGAGCCAGCAGCCCCTCTTCCCTTTTCAAACACCCTCCCTTGCGGAGCGTTCCTTCAGCCTCCTCTCCCCTCTGCTTGGGAGTCCTCTGGGCAGCTGCTGCCACTGTCCCTAATCTGAGCCACTTGGAAACTTCAAAGAGTGTGTCTGAACTTTAAAACCATTCTAGGGAAATATTTTCTATTGAAAAGGTAGAGCAGCACTGCCATCTAGTGGTGAATCTCAGAGTTCGCCTTCTGCCAATTTTATATATATATATATTGGGTCATATCCCAATCGCGCTGCTTCCCTTGGCAGTTGCCTGTTTTGGCCCTTGTTAAATTCAAGGGATGTGGTGCAGTTTCTGTGCTTGTATGCTTTGCAAGCTCCCACTTAACCTTCTATTCAAAACGTTTGTGTACCGAACATTTGATTTTGCAACAGTTGTCAGTATTGAAAGGTTGTGTTATGTATTTCCCCCTACCTCCTTGAGGAGGCATGCTGAACAGATTTTTATTTTTTTAATTATACTTTGCGCAATGATGTGAAACCAGTATAGGATTCCTGATAGTTTGCACAGCTGGCGGTGGTGGCTGCTCCCTTGCTATTTTCTGCCTTCCTTTTCCCAAGGACTGAAATGCAAGAAAGCAGGAGAGAGGGGAGTGGGTGTCAAGTACTGGTAGGCCACAGGGGACATGGGTGGCACTGTGGTCTAAACCACTGAGCCTCTTGGGCTTGCCGATCAGAAGGTTCAAATCTGCTCAATGGGGTGAGCTCCCGTTGCTCTGTCCCAGCTCCTGCCAACCTAGCAGTTCGAAAGCATGCCAGTGCAAGTAGATAAATAGGTACCGCTGTGGCGGGAAGGTAAACGGTGTTTCCGTGTGCTCTGACTTCCGTCACGGTGTTCTGTTGCGCCAGAAGCAGTTTAGTCATGCTGGCCACATGACCCGGAAAGCTGTCTGTGTACAAGCACCAGCTCCCTTGGCCTGAAAGCGAGATGAGCGCCACAACCCCATAGTCGCCTTTGACTGGACTTAACCGTCCAGGGGTCCTTTACTTTACCTTAGGCCGGCATGTTTAAGAGGACACACTCAATGTAGGAGAGGCCAGTGCAAACAGGAACTGAGCAGGAAGGGCAAATTTCTGAGGGCGTATTCTGGATTTCTGAGGGCGTATTTACTGAGACATTTTTGCAGGGGGCATTGGATGGGCACAGCGGCGTCTATGGGTAACCCTTGAATTGGCAACCCTTCTTGTCAGCACTGCTTGCCATCTCAACACTTATAACCCCTTTCAGGTAAAAACTAAAGAAGAACCAATGCTTGGAGAATGTGTGCATGTGGCTGGGGCAGGGATAATCACACCCACTGACCTCTGTGCATTCATCTGAACCTGAGTACAATGTCTTCATGCATACAAATTGTACATGCCTGGACCAACATGGTGCCCTCCAGATGTTGTGGACTATTCTTCCCGTTATCCCTGACCATTGACCATAGTAGCTGAGACAGCTGGGAATTGTAGTCCAACATCATATAGAGAGTACATTAGCTGGTCCTGGCCTAGGTTCAGATGAATGCATGGGGGTGTAGGCAACAGGCTCATTCCTGCCTCCTCACCTGTGACCTCCTCCACCATAGGAGCTAACTACTAGGTCCTTTTGGCCCCCCATATAAAATATTTGAGGGCCGCCCCAAAGTTGATGGACCTTGTCATTCAAATGCATCTTGTGATCCATTACACAGGGTGGGGATTACCTGCCCTGCCCAACAATATTTTATTCAAGTGGGCACCCCTGTTCTCCACCCATTCATTCCCTCTCTCGTGTCATTTTGAAAAGGCTTATATCCCCAAGGAAAGATCTTCAACACTGAGGGAAGTAAATTAGTGACCTTACCTTCTCACGAGTAGTGAATGTTTGCATATTCAACACCGATTAAGACTAAGTTGGCTTCTGGTCGTTTGTTGCACACTTGTATGTTTTCTATCGCCGCACCTCATTTTGTTTCATTCCCTATATTGCGGCCTCTTCACTTGTTTTGTGTTTACCAAACGACGCAGGACTTACTATTGGAATCCCAACCTAGCGTAGCTGCAGAGGAAAGCTACCCACAGAAATTCCAAATGGTCCTACCTGCAAAGATTGCTGTTGCTATGTTTCTAGTCCAGGTAGCATAGACTGGCAAAGCATTTCAGCATGTCCTGTTGGTCCAATTTGGTTCCTGCGGCTGTGACAGGAAACGAAGCAGGGGCTGTAAGTAGTGAGGGTCTCACAGCTACCATCCCATAATGTGTGCAGCAGTGCTCCAGCCTGATAGAGGGATATCTGTCTCCCAGGAAGCTTCTGTCTATCCACAGAACACATTGGTGGCTCCAAGCAATAGCAATAAATTTCTATTGACACCTATTAACTGCATTATTTCCTTCCTGGCACCTATAAGCCTACTGTTGCAGATCAGTGATAACTGATAAACCTTTATCCAGATGCTCAAACTGGGGAAGCTCACGCCGATACCAGTCACTTCAGAGTACCCAGATGAGTTTGCAGCCAGGCTGCAGTGACAATTTTGCTTGAACAAAGAATCGCTTCCTACATGCTCCAAAAAGCACCACTGCATCCATAGGCACATTGCTTAAGGCCCTGCATGGTCACCTTTCCCTTTCATCAGGGGCACTCTGCATAAGCGCAGTGGTCCTCTTGTACGCTGTCAAGAGCCTGATGTAGCTGAGTGAAATGAAACCTGAAGAAGAAGAAGAGGAAGAAGAAGAAGAAGAAGAAGAAGAAGAAGAAGAAGAAGAAGAAGAAGAAGAAATAGCTTAAAGCTTCCTTGAGGATCCAGTGGTTGAAAGGCAGGATACATATAATTTTTAAAATGTCTGCCACCCAATTTGTAAAAAGTTGATATGATTAGTTAGAGTCAGTTAGGCTATTGATTCAATTAGCAGAGATTTGCATGTGAGTAAAACATGAAGCACACTTCATTTGCTTTTGGGGGTTTTTATGAAGCACATATGAGTCATAACAGGCAAATGCCTCTTCTGAAGAAAGAATGCCTCTTTTAAAATGTTCCTTCCCATATACAGCTTTTCCCAAACATTGGTATTCAGCTGTATAATCAGGGCACGTTTTTAGTTGAGCAAAGGTTTTTTTTAATCATTTCATCTGCTGATTAATTGACTAACAGCACAGTCCTATACACATCAAACTAAGATGCGAGTTCATTGAGGCTTCATACCAAGTAAGTACGTATAAGATTGCAGCTATAATGTTGCAGCCATAATAATAAAAGCAGCAGGAATTTGGCCATTTTTCAAAGTTGTCAGTGCTGAACATTAGGAGCTCAGTAGGACTTGCTCAAGCAAGTAGACAACTTAATAGAGAGCAAGATTTAAATGGTTATTGCGAATGCCCTATATTGACAATGCCAAGTTTCCAAATTCTGTTTTCCAAAATAAGAACAGATCAAAAGGAAATGAAAATTAAACTTCGTTGGACTGGTGGAGGACAGTCATATTATCACAGCTTCATATATTTATGTTTCAAATCCAACATTAGGCTGTATGAACTTGCCTTTGAACTTGAACTAAATACGGAAACAGCACTTCCATTTCCCTGGCTCATAGGAGTTGTAGAATGTGAACACATGTGAGTTTATTGCCACCTTTTTGTATTGTGATGCATTCCTGGGTGAAAGGGCAGCACAAGAAAAAAAGGGAATGCAGAGACATGCACATGGATACTCAGTGCCAATGAGATATATTCAAGACCATCTTTAGGGACTTGGACATACTACATTAAACATAAATTAGTGGGTGAGGCTGGATAGCTCAGTCGGCAGAGCATGAGACTCTTAACTCCAGGGTTGTGGGTTTGAACCCCATGTTGGGTGGAAGATTCCTGCATTGCAGGGGGTTGGACTAGATGACCCTTGTCGCCCTTTCCAACTCTACAGTTCTGTGAATCTTTTACTATAGATATTGGTTTACGGACCCCCAGTCATTTGTAAGACTGTGGCAAAAAAAAAGGAAGAAGAAGAAGAAGATCTTGCTCCAGATGTACTGAGTCTCCTTGTGGTTCCACGCATCCTACAGCATCTTTCAGAATACTAAATCCCCACTGCCCCTTCCTCATCTAATATTGCCTTCTTTATTTAATACCAATTCTCTCTCTCTCTCTCTCTCTCTCTCTCACACACACACACACACACACACACACAATTTTCCTCCAGTTTACATCTATGTAATCCACCTGTTGTGTGAGCGCCTAGATTCTTTCACACCATTGTCTTTCTGCCACTGTTATTTTCTATCCACTGGGCCATAACAGTGTTGCTGCTGCTGCTGCTGCCTGAATGGACATCATTGCTTTATCAGCTGATGGTAGGTCTGTCCTTTGCATCCCTCTATTAGGAGATCAGTTGCCTGCAGCCAGGTCCTTTCTCCCACTCTTTGTAATTTCAGTCTTCAGGCCTTCAGAATTCTTTCTTCTGTTACTGTTCCTTGAAAGCAGAAGCAGATGCATTCAAGGTTGAGTAGTGAAGGAAAGGCCCCTCTTCTCCTATATCTGCAGCAATAAGTGGTGATGTAGTCACACACACTGTTTTTAAAAAAGAACAACATGATTGCTGTGGTGCTAGATACATCATGAAACATACACATCCCTGATTATAGATTCAAAGAGCATCACAGAGGCTAGTCAGCAATGATTAGGGGAGGTGTATGTATATGAGCAGACGCGGGTGGCGCTGTGGGTAGAAGCCTCAGCGCCTAGGGCTTGTCGATCGAAAGGTTGGTGGTTCGAATCCCCGCGGCGGGGTGCGCTCCTGTTGTTCGGTCCCAGCGCCTGCCAACCTAGCAGTTCGAAAGCACCCCCGGGTGCAAGTAGATAAATAGGGACCGCTTACCAGCGGGAAGGTAAACGGCGTTCCATGTGCTGCGCTGGTTCGCCAGATGCAGCTTGTCATGCTGGCCACGTGACCCGGAAGTGTCTGCGGACAGCGCTGGCCCCCGGCCTGTTGAGTGAGATGGGCGCACAACCCTAGAGTCTGTCAAGACTGGCCCGTAGGGCAGGGGTACCTTTACCTTTATGTATATGAGCAAGTGGGAGGTGGATGCAAACCCCATGAACCCAAATGGGAAGGATAAAGAATGTGTTTGTGAAGGCACTTTGTCTCAGTCAAAGAGATGTTTTGAATGCTTAGATGCAGGGAAGGAGAGAAACAAAAAAGGAAGGAGTTAGTGCTACCAATTGTAAGCTTTTGGAGAATGCCCTAGTAAGTTTTTTCAGTACGTGTTGTATGTAGGCACTTGAATTTCCATTGAATGAGAGTCCTTAAAGAATTGTTATCCTTTGTAACTTCATCCATCTGTTTTCTTGCTCCTTCTTTTTCATTTTTTGTCACCTCTCACTCACTTCTGCTTATCTACTCTTCTTGCTATAAACCTGTTGTTTTTCACGTGTTCCGCCCTCTGTTCTTCTAATTGATGTATCTTCAGTTTTTGATACAATTGATCTTTTTTTTCTCTCTCATAGTCTTTAGGTTTTGGTGGGCATGAGCCTTTGGGGCCTCTTTCTTAGCTCTTTGAGGGTTCGTTTCATTATCCTCCCTCCTTTTCAGCTGTAGTTTCAGTATACCTGAAGTATACCTGAAGGAGCGTCTCCACCCTCATCGTTGTGCCCAGACGCTGAGGTCCAGCGCTGAGAGCCTTCTGGCGGTTCCCTCATTGCGAGAAGCAAAGCCACAGGGAACCAGGCAGAGGGCCTTCTTGGTAGTGGCACCCTCCCTGTGGAACGCCCTCCCATCAGATGTTAAAGAGATAAACAACTACCTGACATTCAGAAGACATCTTAAGGCAGCCCTGTTCAGGGAAGTTTTTAATGTATGACATATTAGTGTATTTTTGGTCTTTGTGGCTGGGGGAACCCAGCCCGATGGGCGGGGTACAAATAATAAATTATTATTATTATTATTATTATTATTATTATTATTATTATTAGGGTCTTGGGACCCCTTTTCTCTCACTGTTCTTTCTCTTAGCCCCATTGTTCATTCTTTTAACCTCCACACAGTCACCTGCACATCTTCTTTTTCACTACTCTCTGTATTTCTAACATCTTGACCCACCTTTGATTCTGATTCAGACTGGCTGTGTGTAGAAACGAAATGATGCCGCCATTTTATGCTATTCTGCGGTACCCTCTCCTGCAGTACTATTACCCCATCATTGCCTAGTTTCATTACAGTAATTCTCTCCTTCCCAGTTGGTTTCTTTCTTAGCTTCCTCCAATCTCTTAACCATTTTGAGAATTCTGCTTCCTGTTTAGTTTGTCTCTCTGTTTCTTGTTTTGCCAGAATTTCTCCTTTGTTACAGAGTCTTACTTACATTGACTCTGGTTTCCTTATCTGATCCAGTTTCAGTTTCTTTCTTTTCTTTTCAATTATTCTCCTGTTTTGGCACCTTCTTATCTTACAGCTTCTCTTTCTTTATTTGCATTCTTGTCCTCTCTGCTGTACTTTTGTCTTTTGTCTGGATCATGGGTTCATTTTCCTGTCCCTTTCCTGCTTCCTTTCTCTGGAACTTAGGGCTACCAAAATCCACATCTCTTAACTCCTTGCAAGTCTGTAAACTGCATCAGATATTTTCCTCTGCTATGTGAGCCACTAGACTCACCTCCCCCCAACCCTTCTTTGCCTCCTTCTTCTAATTGCCTACAGGCACGGATCCCACTTTCTTTTTAATTTTAATCTAAACGACTAAATCAATCAGCCTTGTGCTTTTAAGTTTTATATAGCAATTTGAGATGTGATGATAATTATAATAATATTTGGCATACCCTCCAACATTTCTGTGATGAAAATAGGGACACCCTGTTGTTGTTGTTGTTGTTGTTGTTGTTGTACCTGGTCCATCTGACTGGGTTGCCCCAGCCACTCCAGGTGGCTTCCAACACATATATAAAAACATAATAAAACATTAAACGTTTAGAAACTTCCCTATACAGGGCTGATTTCTGAAATAACACAAGCAATTTGGAGATTCAAAGACAATGCTGCCACATTTCCTTCCTGTGCTGAACATATAAGAAGAACTTTTGGGCAGGGAGGAGGGCAGGTGAGTGCTATAGCTTTCTGACTGAAAGGTCTAGCTTCTAATCAGAGGGAATGGTCCCAGGGCTCTCCAATCTCTGCTTTGGGACAGGAATGGTGAAGGAACATGCCAGCCTTGTTCCATCTATTCTTGCTGACACTGACCACCTCCAAACCCCTTGCTTGCTGAACTGCTTTGTGCATAGGCTTTGCTGCTGTTTCTTGTTGTTGGCATTCATTTGTCTCAAGAGAGAATGCAGTGTGCCTCTGGGGGTAAAGTCTAACTGTGACATTAGGAACACCGAAGTGACCGCCCTTGGACCATGTGTATGGAGGTCTTGGGCTGCCCAGACAATAAGACTCTTGGCCTCGCTGATGTGGTCTAAAGGAAAGCAGAGCAATATGCTTGGCACCAGCTTGGCTGCAGGAGTTGCCAGAAGGAGGTGTACAAGGCGCCACCCCAGCTGTCTTAGGGACTCCACTCCGAATTGGTGTAGGGTTTACTCCTTAGCTGTTTCTTCTGCCAAATATAGCCCACAAGGCAGTGGAAGTTTAGGATCTCCTCCCTTCCCAGGTGGACGAGCCCCATCTGCCCCATATTTCTGTCTGCAGCAAATGTAGAAACCGCTTTCTTAACCTTCTATTGGTCTCATCCACTCAATCTGCCGGAGCCTGTCTTCGCATGCAGGGGAAGTCCCGAACTCACCAAGGGTTTGAGACTCATCAGCTACCCTCAACTGGTTTAGCTGGTCAGTCGAAGCGGTTTCGACATGGGCTGTGGAACGTCCCTATCTGATCAGGGAGCACCTGCACCCAAGTAGTGTTCTCGGGCAGGGCTAGGGCTCGAATTACTAGCAGTGGTGATAAATGTGGTGGTGTTTGCTTCAAAAATTCTGGACATTTGTCCTTTTCAACCCTTTAACACCCCCCAAAAAATGACTGCTGCTGGTTTGCACACCCTCCCCTCTCATCATAGCACCCTTGCTCCTGCACCTCCCCTCATGAAGTTTTGCAGGTTACTTTCCTATATACTTCCCTAGATACCCCTATACCATTTTCATACTGAATGTTGTCCACAAAGCAACAGGGAGGGGAGCGAATCCCCTTTAGTTTTCTCTCTAACCAGCTTTAAGGAGAGCTAGCAGTTCCTGAAGCCTCTTCAAAGCAATTTTTTGAACAAAATGTGGGATAGCCCCTAATAAGCAAAGGATTTTAGGTATAGTAAAAAACAGACTAGGGAAGAGCGATACCTGATTTTCAACATCGTGATATATCAGCAGCTAAACATCGTGATATTCCGATATATGACAGTGTCTGAAATAGGAGATCGGGCGTGGGGATGAGGGAAGGAGCAGCTACATAGATTGGGTGGGGTGCGTGCAGATCAGGCGTGGGGTTAGGGCTGGGCGATGTCAGGTTTTCAACATGGTGGTGTATCACCAGCCGAATATCATGGTTTGGTGAATAAACGATGATGTTGAAACAAGCTGCATCAGCTCCAGCAGCAAGTGAAACTGCCTCAGCTCTCACCGCAGGAGCCGAGGTGCTTTCACCCCAGTGCCTCGCAGGCTGGGGCCAATGCATCTGGCCCCGGTCCACTGCTCAGCTGGGGGGTGGGAAGGCTCCCGCCCCCCAACTGAGTGAGCCCCGATGTCCCTGAAGGTGAGGTGGGGGTTCCTTTAGACTTCTCCAACAAGGGGGGGGGGCAAAACTGTGCACCCCTCAGTGGAATAGTGTGACAGAGCCTGCACCTCCCCAGCTGAGCCGCTGCGATCCCACTCCTGCTTGCATGCTGGGGAGCAGGAGCACTTTAATGGAGCCCCCACCCTGCCACTGGCTCATGTGAGCCGGTGGCGGGTTGGGGGCTCTGTAGAACTGCTTGGCTGAGACAAGGGCAGTGGTGCGCTCCTCAGCCAAGCTTTGTAAAGAAGCAAGGTGTTATGTACTGAAGTTCTCACCCTGGGCCAGCAGGGGGATACTGTAGATAGTTTTCACTCAGGTCCACATATGCAAATAAGGGATTGAAAGTGACTTTCAGTGATTGGATAGTTACAGAAAATAGTTACTGTTGCGTTCTAGTGGAGCTCTATGTAAGCAGGCTGGCTGAACCCTTCAGTTCAGTTCTGTTCTGGCCTGTGAATAAACAAAAGCTGTTTGAAGAATTGCTGTGTCATCTGTTATGTTCACCCACAACTTAACACAAGGGATCTCGCTTGTTTCTCCTTCTGCAGCGGTATGAGGGCAGAGCACGATGGCGATTTCACTCAGCGGTATATCGTTGGTGAAATTGTCACCGCTCCTGAGTCCCTTTGCCTCCAGCGCCCGGCCGCTGCTCATTTTTCACTCCGTGCGCTGGGCGCTGTTAGCAGAGAGACTCAGGAGGCGGAAGTTTCACCCATGATATACTGCAGAGTGAAGCCGTCCTCACGGTCTGCCAGGCCTAGTGGGGATAAGGGAAGGAGCAGTCACAAAGCTTGGGCAGGTGGAGAGAGGAAGTGGAGTCACTTCCACCACGTGGTTTGAGAGGGTGGGGATGGGGACGGGGTGTGTGCATCAAGCGCCGAGAGTGGTGGAAGCCAACAAAGATGAATGACCACCGTAGCTGCTGCTGCTTTTCTGCTGGCTGAGAAAAACTGCTCTGCCTCAATGCCAGGGGAAGGTAGTGCCCTCAGTGCCACTGAGGGAAATCAGCTGCCCTGGTCTCCCTCAGCATGCCGGGTCAAAATCATTATCGCGGTGTGATTTCAAAACTGATTTTGGCCAATATATGGAAAAATCACAGTGCCAAAACAGGCCATAAAATTTGTGATATTGCCATGCAGAAATGGCAACAATTTAGTAGGGGGTAGGCAAGAGATGGGGCTGCAGACCCCCTGGGTGCATTTCCCAGACCCCCAGGGTTCCCCAGACTCCTAACTGGGAACCACTGTTAAAAACAGATCCCATATATATATATATATATATATATATATATATATATATATCTCCCCATCCTTTCCTGTTTGTCTTCAGTTTGACAGGTTTTACCAACTCAGCAGGGGCTACCATGACTGCAGATTCTATTGAAAATAAAAGTTACAGTTATTTGTTGATTTTCCCCCATGATAGGGAATGGCATCGAAAACATCCGAATCAGTTTGGAACTGAAGTGAAATGGGAAACCTCTGAAGAGGTCCTAGTCAAATTGAAGGCTATTTTTACAAGACGCTGACTGAATCAGTGTCTGAACTGTATATTGTGGTCAGTGCACACTTTGATAATCACATCCTCCTAGATTTAGAATGCTTGCAACCAAATCTAAGACCATTAGCTACCTCCACTGCAGGCCTGGATGACGTATAAGCATGAATGTGTAACTGCTTAGAACCTGCTCAGAAGCTTTAGTGACTAAAAGGCATATAAATAGCTACAGTAAATAAAGAGGCATAATTATCTGGAGCAACTGCAAGGAGTGGTTATCGCAGCTTGATTGAAATTTTACCTCAGGGAGAGAGTCAGAACTGGACCTGTCGCCTCCTTGGTAGGTCTGCAACTCAGGAAAGAAGGAAATCTTCAGCCTACTCCAAATTTAATTATTTGTTAATATTTTACTTTTTGAATTTGGTATTTAAGGCCTGTGTGCTCTGAGGGAAAACGCAGAAAAGTAGCCTAGGCGAGAGAATTTGTGTGGAGGCCATTGATGGCTTGGGAGAACTGTTGGGTCAGCCCTTGCCAGTAGCCAAGGGAAACCCTGTGTGCCCTGAGCAGAAAAATGAAGAGAAGCCCAGACAAGGAAATTCATTTCATCAACTCATGGAGAAGCCACTAATGGCCTAAGACAACTCAGCTTTGCAACATTTTATTTTAAAAATACATTTTAAACTATAACCCAGCCAGTAGGCCTTGCATTTTTAATGTTCTCCCGTATCACAAATTGCATCTGAATGCCCCATCGGTTTGAAACATGCCAGTTGTGTGTTCCTGTTCAAAGACCTCTTTGGTTCAAGGAACTTTGGGTGGTGGCCTGCAATTGCAGCATTGCCTGGGTAGCACAGCTGGTTAGAGAGTGCTGCTGATAACACCATGGTTGCAGGTTCGATCCCTGCATGTGAAAGCTGCATCTTTCTGCATTGCAGCCGGTTGAACTACATGATCCTCAGGGTCCCTTCCCAACTCTGTGATTTCTGTGAAATCCTTGAAGGCATGTTCCGCTTTGATGGAACTGTCTGGCACTTTAATGTATATGCAGGATAATGTGACCGATGTATACTAGGGCATACACTGGGGCTGTAGCTCACTGCTAACTGCTTTGCATGCAAGAAGGTCCCAGTTTCCATTCTCAGCATCTCAAGGGAGGGCCGGGAATGTCCCTTGCCTGAAAGGCTGGAGAGCTGCTTCTGCCAGTCAGTGTCAACAGAACTGAACTAGATGGGCCAGTGGTCAGACTCAGTAGTTTACCCTACGTGCTTTACACAATCAAGGATCCAGGTGTTGTTATCTCAAAAGTTCTTGGCAGCCTTTGAAATAGGCAAAGAACTTCAGTGGGTTTTGCCCCCACTGTCTTTCTCTACTTTTATTCCATCCCATGGAAAGTGATGTCGAGAGCCCCTAATTCTGATTGTGTTCCCCCTGCCCTCATTTCACTCCCTTGACTGGATGTAGTGAAAAGCAAACAGTACCAGGAACCAGAAAGGACTCTGTTTTGTCCTCTTGCTATTCTCAAACTACTGCATTGGACTATATCACACAATATAGTCAGTTACACTTGCTACCTCCTCTGTGCTGTTGTACTGGGCAGCTCCTGTTACCTTTCAGTGGTTCTGTGCTTTTAGGAAACTATGCATGACGATACTTTTTTGGAAACTTTTCAGCCCAGCTCCATTATCCCGCAGAGTCTTTTGAAGTTGACGGTGCTCTTGTACCACTTGTGGGTCTCAACCTTTATTCCACTTTTCATTGGTGTGCGGAAGGACAGCCTTCAATAGCTATTATTTGCAAAAAAAAAAAGTATTCTATCTCTTTAATGAAAGGAAAAGTCAATATAATGTATTCTCAAATGTAAATGCAATAAGGAATTAACATATAGCTCTGGTTGTGATCTATGACATTTGGCTTTGCAGTATTCATATATTGCACAAACTCTGGAATTTTCCCGGTTTCAGAAGAAAAAAAAAAATGATAAAACACATTGCGGTGGAGGGGGGAGGGCAGGGAAGTCTGGTCTATATGACTCTGAAATAGATACCTCTCTTTTTCTGCTTTTAAAAACACATGAACATCATTAATCCTGAAGCCGGTTCTTCATCATGTATGTCCAAGTCATACAGCACAAGGAGAAATGGAACAAGATGGCGGTTACAGTGGCAAGATGCAAATTTATTCGGGCAAAAGTAATAGGTGCACAATATCAAGCATGCTCAGGTTTGTGCCAAGAAAACTGTTTACGGATGAGGAATGGATGGGATGAGCTTTTTGCATCATACATGATTAACGGTTCTCTGAACTTCCATTAGGAAATCTATGTGTGATTTCCTAGCTGCCACTAAGAAATGATACAGACCACACTGCTGGAGCAGAAATACCCTGGCTCAAATGATAACGTAACATCACAGCAGCAGTGTACCCGGGAACGTGATATTCCTTAAAAATAAAAATAAAAAAAATGAAGGAAATAGACTGAAAGGGGGGGGAATAGTGACAGAGAATTCACAGACCATGTTGACTGCAGGCACCTATTTGGAGTGTTTCATTACGTCTTTAATTAAAATGGTTTGTGCTTCCTTTTTCATTTTACTCATTGTTTGGCGCTCTCTCTTTTTTTTTTAAGCATGTGAATAACGTTGCCACTGTTTTTCTCCAGCTCTCTCTATTTCTCTCCCTCCTGGTGTCATCGCTTGAAGCCAGGGAGCGTTAGAGCTGTGTTTTTCCTCTCCCCTTGAAAGCACATTTTAAAAAGGGAAAAGGGGGAAAAAAAGGAAGAGAAGTAAAGGGAAGGGAAGGAAGTAGAAGAAATGTTCCTTTCTGGTATTCTCTGCAGTTAGGTCAGCAGGAGGCAAAATAGGGTCCCATTGAGAAGAACCAGCACTTCTTCATTAAATGCCACTTTAAATGTGGGACGAAGAGAACTCGCTACTGTATTGGGGCAGTGCAAAAAAAAAAAAAAATAGAACGAATGAGTGTCTTAGTCCATGGGTGAACCAAAATGATAATGCAATGAATGTCACAGAAATGGATGTTGTTGAATGGCCTTTGCACAGCAGAGGTAGATCAAGGTTTATAACAAACTGTTTACTGACCATTTACGTTTAAGATCAAGAGAAGAGGTCAGTTGAACAAGAGCTCACCTATGTGCTTTCTTAGTCGCGCGACTCTAGCAAACTCCCTAAAGTACTGCAGCCCAGCCCCCTTATTGCTGCATTACTTTTTTTTCGCAACAGACCAAAATGCTCTTTGAAATCTACATTCCACTATCGGTTAAAGCTTTCTCTCCCCACACCCCCACCCCACCCCTAAATTTTCAAAGTATTTCCACAGTAGAGTTATGAGTATAATTCATATGAGATGTGCTCTTCCGGGCTGGGGGTGGGAAAATAAAAGCACCATTTTTAAATGCCAAGTAGAATACCTGTGTGTGCACATGCGCAGTAAGGAGGGGAGAAGGGTAAGGAAAGAAACTGAAGCTGAATAATTCTGCATTTTACGTGCTTTTTTTGTATTTGCACAGGTCATTTTAAGATCCTCATTCTCAGTTCATAGCAAAACACTATCAAAACAAGAAGTCTTGCAAAATAGTTGAGCTTATACATCTTAAACAAATGCATTATTTTAACCTGCTAAAGCAGTAGGGATTTTTTTTTTGATTTTTTTTTTTGTATATATCTATATATATTTTTTGCAGAACTTCACAAACCATAAAACATGAATAAAAATGCATTATCAACACCGCAGTGATGAACAGAAACGTTTTCTTGAAAGGGCCAGGGAAGGATGGGGTTTTTCATAGCTAGAAAGTAGATAATTGGTTTGCTAAGAGAATATTTCCTATCTTTTTTTCCTTCATCTCTCAGCTACACAGCAAACAGCTCTAAAGTGCACTTTCCAAGTGTAGTTAGAGAACAGGAAGGAATGAAAAGTTTTTTTTTTAAAACAGCCCTTATTAACTTTTCCTTCCATTTATTCTAGTGTAAACTCTAAAAAGCCTTTTTAAAAAGCAAGTTCTCAGACACTCAGCAGCTGATATGATTCTACAAAGAAAGAAATGGGGGAAAAAGACAACTGGATTATTCTCACTCCCTGCCCCGCTTTGACTACTCAGCCCAACATGTTAAATTTTATTGCACACTCATGGAAATGGTTTATCTATTATGATGATTTTTTTTATTATTATGTTTTCTTTTTCAGCTGTGCTAACGTTTAGTTCTGCCTTCGCCCCCCCAATGTCCTCGTCTGCCTTTAGTTTCAAGGGGAATTTCATTAACATGTCATACTTAATAGACTGCGGACAGTTTCATACACTGGGTTGCTGCAGGAAACACACGCCTTATACCAATGTTCCCACAACAAATGTGTGATGTGGACGAAACACAACTGCGTCTTTAAACACCAGTATACAGGCATCTGGGAACCCTGGTTGGGGGTCAGAGATTTCCAAGAAATGTTGCTATTTAAACTAGGTTGGGTGTGCACTCATGTGTGATGTCCACACATGTGTTTTCTGGGGGAATTTGTGGAGAGATAATCAGAAACTGGTAAAGGGGAAAAGGAAAGTCTTTGTTTTTTGCTGAACCTCTTTGCTCCTATAGATTATACTGACACGTGCTGCTCGCATGACTGCGGCGGAATTAAAAAACCGTAATTCACAATGAATGCCAAACTTCTACCGCCACTGTGAAGGCCTCTCTCACCTAGTCATCTTTGCTGAGCTCTAAACATGGTTTTGCATGCACTGTCTTCCGTCCCAGGCTGCTCCTGTTCAACTGACCAGTGAGAAAAGACTGGACTTCTTTGAAAATGGGAATTGGAGCAACAGTTTGTTATAGGTTTTGTTACGTTACAATTTCACTGTCCCGATTCCACCTTAGAAGGAGAGCACTTCTCTTTTGCCTCCCCATCTCCTCACTTTGGGTTCCAGTCAGGTGACTTGTGCAACATGGGCAGAGGCTCATCTGAATCGTGCGCCCATTCATTGTGATTACACAGACGGAAAAGCAAGCGGGCATTTTCGGCTTTGGGGCACTGGAGAGGAGAAGGAGAACCTTTTTTTTTTGTGGGGGAGTAGGGCCGTTTAGGGGGCAAGGTTACTGTTGTTGTTTTTTCTAAAAATAAAAATTAATCCATTAGTTAGTTATGCCGTGGAACCACAGCAGTTCTTTCCTCTAATAGAAACTGACAAGACATAAAAGACAGAACTATTGGATGAACACACACAATGACTAGAAATAGATAAGACAGTGAAAAGACTTAGTTTAGCTCTGAGAAACTGTCCAAAAAATAAAATCCTGTATTAACAAGTGCAAAAACAAAAGAAAGAAACTCCAAACATTAAAACACAGTGTATAAAATGGTGTGAGAAATTTAAGTCACCAGACAGCCTTTTAGTCAATAAAAAGCTGTATTTGATGTGTCCTTGTTTGGATTGTGGCCCTTCTGCTGAGTTTTACCCAGAAGGCCTTTGGAGGATTGAATGGAGGGCAAAAGGACCCAGTCTCTTGTGTTTGACTGCAGTACATGTGGGCCTGCTGTAGGCCCATAGGAGAAGATGAATTGGATCTTTTATTCCTCATTGGTTGAATTATCTTCCAAAGTTGTTATGCCGCCAAAGCCCAGTTCGGTTGAGTTCTGTGCTGCTGAGACTGTTAGTACTGTATGTAAGAGAATTAGTACGAGAACACACAGTTTAAGTCTGCTGTTACACAGTCTTGATGCTGATGAAACTGTGAGTGATGTCCGGTGACACATCGAGTCACTTGTTTTTATAGTCCCTTTGGATTGGTTATCTGATAATAGTCCCCATCTGACATCACAGCATTCTGGTTCTGCATTGGTTGGATAGTTGTCATAGAGCCCTGCAGGGAGGGGAAAACAACAGTAAGTGAATTCTGGTGACTATTTCACACT